TGTTTTTGAATGAAAATATCTTCATTTGGGGACTTTTCCAAGCAAATATTGAAATGTGTTATTGTTTGTTAATAAATTCCATTTCCAATTTAGTTTTTTGTCTCCATGCCACCCCATTAATTTTCTCTAGATCCTCCCCAGAACAAATTATCAGTCACTTGTCACAATGCCCTGCCACTACCAAATTTAAAGATAGAGAGATAACATATGCCACTGGAAAAATAGACACAGAGTTACTATCCTGAAAATATTTGACGGATCTGCAAAAGCTGTTGTTTTTGATGTGTGGCCTGGAGATCACTGCAGGTGCAGTGGTAACTGTACTGTAGAACTCTGGCAGAATACAACAAAACCACTGAGCAATTCTGACCAATGGCTTAAACTAAGAAATTAAAGTTAAATGGCTATCTATACAGCATGCTGAGCTATAACAATGATGTTTGCATGCAACTAATTAACAATGTTCATTGGCCAATGCAGGAAGTAGTGTGACATTCACACAGTGAAAGAGGATAGAGGTCAGTGTGTTAGATGGGTGTACAAAAGAACTGGGTTAACAAATGTTGACATATGTCAAATCTAACCATGACCAACAACAATATTTTCCTAATCCAAACCAAGACATTTTAGTGGCCTGGAGTTGTGTTTAAGTTTACACCAACTCCTGTAGGACATATCCGGCTCTTTAACTGCTAAGTGCTCTTTAACTCTGCCTGCTGTTAAGTGCTGGGCAGGTAGCATACAGGTTTTATTTTTATTTTTTTTTTCTGTAAACATCTGCATGCTGCATCTGTGATTATGTATTTGCAAGCAGCAAGAAAATGAACAAAGTTTTGGGCCCTAAAACCAAAACAATGAGCCTGGTAGAGCTGACGGAAACTGCAAGCAAACTCTTTTCACATTAGAAGGAGTCATATGATCCATTGTTAATCTTGAAATATTAATTAAAGCAGCTCCAGTAATATCAAAATCATGCTTTACTATCACCACAAGTGGATATTGTTGAATATAGACAACCAACAGACAGTAAGCATGTAAAGAACATAATCCACACAGCATTACATTTTCCCTAAAATGGCTTTCTACTATGGCTACCAACACCATTACCAAACCTAATGTAGGAAAGAAAATCAACAACAAAATTGCCAAATCCTGGTCACAGATGCATTTCATCTCCATTCAAACTGGGGCCTTAATATATTTCACTACTGAGAAGATTGTATTCTGTTTAAAATACCACAGACACAACTTCTAGACTGGAGCAGATCAAATTATATTTCTGGAGGGAACATGAAGGCAACAGTGAAGCAAATTAAGTTAAAGGTTCTATGTGTAATCGCCAGCCAGTGCAGACCTCTATTGTTCAGTGATGTGAAAGAGCACAGCGCATCAAAATATCTTTCTCCCTCTCCTACTCACACGGGGCAGAAAATTCAAATAGATGTATAACCAGAGCTATCACCAAGCCAGCAAAGACCAAGGCAGTGTCAAGCAAGATAAATTACTGCAGTTATTACTGTGTTGTCAGAGTTATCATATTTTTAAGGAGTAATAACTGAGCTCCCTGGCAGTGCTTAATGACTCAGGGGTCATGTTTGTAGAGGCTCAATTTAGCTTCACTTTTCTATCTAGAGTCTCCTACCTGGCAACCACCAAATGTTAGGTCAAGATGCACAGTTTGCAGAGGACTATGCATGTTAACCAAATGTCCAAGGTCTTCTTTTGCTTATTTGAAAGCATAAATATTCAGAACAAGTAAGTAAGAACGATTTTTTTAATTGGTATCACTCACAAACCATCAACAACCACTGCTGATACATACTGTACTAGTCAAATTATATTAAATAATTTTTCATGGCCAATATTGAACTGAAAACAATAGAAAATGTTGCAAACACTATAACTCTAGTACAAAAGCTCTATAACTGCAGCTCCTGCTAATAAACGTATCATTTGATATTTTTTACATAACATCATATTCAGGTTCATCACCAGTCAGAAGGTAAGCTACGATAGGCTTTGCTTTCAGGGACTGAAAGTATATGTTTGTCTGATTGTCTGTTTGTTAACTTTTGATGTGCAATTTATTTCTTGATTGTATCATGTTCACTCAAACATTCAGATTGTGGTCTCCTACTGTGAACAGACGGCAAGAAGGAGATACAGAGAGACCGGACAGAAGCCAACTGCATTCAAATGAAGAACTGTTTATTGAAATTGTTTTTTTAACAATACAATTGTCACTGTTGTGAGGATTTTTTTTAGTTCCCCTGAGGCTGCACACCAATTTTGTGACTCCAATAACTGACAAAGATGGCAAAGAGCAGATCCAACTATGAATTTCAAATTGGTCCTTCATAAAACTATGGTTGCCTTCTCAGACAATAAGTCAATGTTTTTTAGTATACTGCACATATGGGTAAGAGGGTGCCACTCTACATAAATGTTCAGATGAAAGTTTTTTTAAAGGGCCAGTGTAAAAAAAACTGTAATTGTTAATCAAGGCTTAACATGGTTTAAATTATATGGTGTGCAAGAATGCAATTAACCACTTTTGATCAGCAACCAACCCTAATTATGAGCCTACATGGTGAGAATTATTTTATAACCTCATACTGTACAAGCCTGCTTAGACATACAGTCTTACGGGACTGATAGCAGCAGTGTATGGGTCAGACAGCCACTAGTGGAGGTCAAATGATTCAGCTGCCTCTCCAAAATATTGTACGCTTACCAGCATTTCTGTGAGATTTTGTCACATGTCATTATGTGACCCCGTTGTCTGTTTTTGATAAAAAACAGATTTTTTTTTCAAACCTCTTGGGAGGCAGCCTTCTGGCCACTACAGCTGCAGCCAGCACCCACATAAAAACAATGCCATGCCAATGCAAGAATACAAAGAGAGAGACAGTGAGGCAGAGAGAGAGAGATGGTGGGTTCTGCCAGTACAAGACAGTTCTCTGTCCACCACCAAAGACAGTTTGCAAATACTATCCTTATCTATACATAGAGCTGCTCTGTGTGCAAAAGGTGAATGCATGCATTCTACCATTGATTCCTTCTGATTATGTTTATGGGTGTTCATTTCCTTGCCTTTAAAGACTAAAAGCCACATGCTTTGCAGACAATTGATCAGTAAGTTGCACTGCCAAGGTCTGTAAAAGGACCTCCGCTTCTGAATGTTCTCTTTTCAGTCCTTGAAAGCATCATCAACATTGGGTCATCTAAAGCTATGACACAACTATAGCTTTAAGCTACTGCTGGCATTTTCATTTTGGCAATGTGATGTGGAATGCTTCCCCTCTGAAAATGATTACATGTTGCCAGCATTTTGCCATTGAAAAGGCCACCAGATTGAATGAGGCATACTGAATAAGGCAGCTTTTATTCTGCAATTTCCGCTGCCAGGGCAATTTTCTGCACTGCATTTGGAGTAGAAGACAGAACAATATCGCAGGATGTATTGACTTGCTGTCAATATAACATTAATTTCAAACATTAAGGCTTAACTTAAAGTTCACTTTCGGTATGCAGGATTATTCAGAGCCGGGTAGCACAGACAATTTTTCAACTTGATCTTTAAAGGCAGTGTTTCCGCTAGATATTTTGCATTGTTCCTTGTGGCCTATTCATATTTCTGACCAAAGCATGACAGCGTTGTGCTCTAAACCTGTCAGCCATTAATGCATAAAATATATGTATTTATATATTTGTTAATACTTCCCAAAAGTAACTGATTATGCCCACTTTCCTAAAGGACACAATGACAAACAACACAAGAATTGCAGTGGCAGTCATGGAAGTGCAGATAAATGCTTCCGGACCAATTTCAAACAGAAGCCACTTCTCTAATTTCATAGAGTTGGTATCAGTATCATACACAGTTATCTTGCCTTTAGCCACATTATGACACCTAGTGTAAAAGAGCATGAGCTCCCCTCGCAGTTAGTCGGTGGAACAGCAATCAAAGCAACTTGAGGGAGCACGGAACGGCAACTTTGCCTCACTGGTGACACACGCACACACACGCACACACATACATACATACAACAAAACAAGCATGTGCGTGCATGCGTGCTTCCGTGCACGCGCACTCTCGCGCGTTCAGAGCCACGTACAACACAGACCAGCACGTACACATAAACACAGATCCAGCGGACTATCTGCTTTCACAGAATTCTTTACAGGCAGTAATTCATCCATAACGTTGGACCTACAAAAAGATAATAACAGGAAGCACGACCGCAACTCAATTCCACATCCAATATCCAAGCTGGGATGACACTCACTTTTAGTTAATGGAATAATGCCTTTTCCGGAATGAATTGATCAACATGGATGTAAAAGAAAGCCACGACTGGACTGCAAACGGAATTAGCTTGACTACAAATATTGATGTCGACTGCACAATGATTTGTAGGCCTGCAAATACACCTTCACTCTGAATGTTGCCCCTGTAATGCCTTTCATTGAAGCCGCGGCAGGTCTGCGTAATATGCGAAACCCCAAATCCTGAGATCATTGTTTCTCCCCAATGTTTTATGTTGCCTTTATATCCGCACTTCTGCAGCATCACCTCGGGAAGATGCTGTCTTACAACATGCAGAGAGAATGCAGTCGAGTGCTCATAATCGAGAGAATAACTCATATGCATATTGTGTGGAGATGATGGGTTTATAAAATTATAAGATTAAAAAAATGTTTTTAACAGCCCCAGAATGCTCCGTCGACAATCAGCCCGGGCGGAGCTTGAAAGGGACTTGTACACCGATTATTTAAAAGGTAGCTTCACAGTGGGAAGAACTAATTGCCTCCATCCTGAAAAGGACACCACCGGCCACACCATGTAACATGCTGACCACGCAACATCGCCATAATTGTGCCACAATATAGCCCTGCCTACCCGAAAACTACCTCGTGGTCAGTGATGGACAGAAAAAAATATACATAAGATACCCTCATATTATGTTAGAGGTCCAAGTCGGGATAGTCGTACTTACCTAAAACTGACTCTCCCCTCTTAGCTATATTTGTGGTCCAAGATTTGTTAGTTCTCTGGCCAACAACTTCTGCTGGAGCATATGTATCCAGTGCTCATGCTGGTGGCTCAGTCGGTGATGTTGGATTGCGGATGATTTGGCAATCCTTTTCATGCTCAAGGGAAAAAAATCCTTCGTTTCGGCGTGGTCTCGGGCATTGGCGCGCAGAGGAATAAAGTAATGAAGTCCGTCAGGAGGGAAAGGAGAAAAGGGAGCTCTGGATGTGAGGTTTATGCCGACGTGTTTGAAACTGTTCTGTGCTCTTTTTTTTCTCACCGTAGGAGCCGTTTGCGGGTGGAGAGGTGTGGGATGGATATCTAGGAAGGGAGGCTGGGATGCACAGACTGAGGGCGAGAAAGGGGAGGTACAAAGAATACAGTCTCATATTGTAGAGGACGGTCATGGCAGACAGTAAGGGGTGGGTCTGGACTGTATGAGACGGAAGGCGAGGAAACTGAGGGTGGATGAGGATAAGAAGCCGTGTCGTGACTTTTTTCTCTGCTGATAGGTACATATTTCCACCAAGGCTACGGGTTGACCGTCATAGATAGCTTGACCATTACGAATTTAGGGAGAAAAATTATGGGAGATTTAATCAAAGGCGCAGATTGGCTTTATGGACTATTGGGTATATGAGAATTTTTGAGAAAACTGAAACCGCAACAAAGTGAGAAGGCAGAGAGTTGCACAGAAGGTGCCACACTATGCCACGTGTAGGCTGTGTGCTTTGCATAAAATACAACGTGACTGTGTGACTGTGTTAATGTAAACTTAGAATGACTTGCCTTGAAACTCTTGTTTCTAAAAAATCCCCCATATGGCTGCGTGGAATCTGTTTAACTACCTCAAAGTGAAACACTGGTGTTTGCTGTCCATGGTGCTTAAACACTATAATAACATTATGGTGGTTGCTGTCCATGGTGCTGAAGAACAACTCAAAAGTATATTTTTTTGTAGTCGCTGTCCATGGTTCTGAAACACAAAGCAAGAGTATAATACTGACCGTTGCAGCCCGTGTTCCTGAAATGCAACTCAAGAGGCTTAAAGGATTCATGTAGATGCAGATGTCAATTAAATATGTTGGGTCAGTGTGACAGATGTACTGTCAGCTGCTGTGTTCACTATGGGCATAATACAGATCATAAATTCAGTTGTTGAGTGGCTGGCAGGGCCACAGTTTTTGTATTGTATCTTAGAATTAAGTTTTAACAACCTCATTGGAAGGTTACATGTACATTTACTTTACTAGTACTGAGGATTTGGAAACTTAGTGAGACATGGTACAAGCAAAATTTTGGGAATCATCTAAAAACACCTTGCCAAACATTGCCTTAGACCAACAGCTCAACTTACTGTGTTGTATTGTATGTCTCCTGTGTTAGACATTAATTCACAATTATATCAACCTGCATCTCCCTTGTACAGGATACCTCCAGCATTGTGCGCAGGCTGCTTCTGTGTCTTTCATCTTATAAAAGACGTACATGCATGCTTAACTAATAATAATTGATCGTTATAACAGTTGCAAATGCAAATTATATACCTGGCACAATTTAAGCAATTTATGAATCATACATTGATAATTTGTTGGCTGCTTAATGATATGCATGCCACCAGCCACTTGCGTTATTTAGGTGTCAAGCTTGCAAGGTGGGAATATTACAACAATATTTTATCCATTAATTGCAGTTCAAATAATTTAAATCCATATAAATAAAATAAAAGAACAGAAACATTATTAAAAGCCCCAGTAACTTAAGTTCTTGTGGGAGTAAAATTCAGTCTCCATTCTAAAGTGAAGTCTTACTTATAGCCCACACACTGTTTGACTCTGATTAGTACTATTCGTACGTGACTACATTTCACCTTTCATAAATGCATCAATCAGCACACGAATACAAGACTCGACTGTCCAACTTATTTTGCAATTTTGAAGGTCTTAACTGCTTCACATGATGTTTGTTTGTTGTTGATGTTTTTTTGTTTGTTTTTTTGGGTGGGGGGGTTGTTATTTGTTGTTATTTGATTTACAATAAACTACTATTACAACAACTACCACTACTACAAGAGTAGTTAAGGGTGAGTTTATGGCCTGAACAAATCTGTTATTGTCCACCTTAGTATGTAAAAAGGGTGCACACTGTCACTTGCTATTAAATATTAACAATTGTGTAACAAATCCTCCACAGGTAATTATATATCCCTCTAAGTTTAATCTTTGTACCACCCGCTCCTTTCTCCTTGATACTGGATACTCGAGATACTCCACAGCTGTGCTGTATCATAGAACCTCAATAAAATATACGGATGAAAGCTCAACTTAATATCGAGCTGGCATGGCAGCTGAAACTTTGCCCCAAACCATTTTTGGTCAGGTTAACGAAGGTTGCTTAAAATGTAAGGCTCCTCCTGGGCTATTTAGAAGTTATGAAGTTAAAAAGTTGTGCTACTTTGGAGGCATCATGCTGATTGAGTGACACAACACTGTGTACCCTGATGAACGATGGATTGGATTATGTTTAATTTAGTTGCACCCACCAATGTCTTTGTCATATTCAGGTGTTCCCCTCCTCCCATAATTCTGGTTTCAGAAATGCACTGAAGAGACATACAGCTGTATATTGCTATATACAGTTTTAGATTCCAATGCACCCCAGCATATTATTTTACACAACAATTCATCAAAGGAACTTGAATGGAATTCCCTAAAAGCATTTAATAACCCATCATTTGATTAGTATATGTGACAGCACCAAGCAGTTATATATTCATTCACAATCTTTATTGGAACTCAAAGACCAAGCATGTAGAAAAGATACCTTTTCAATTGATTTTGACATAACTATCCCCACTGTAGTCACAGACAGCTTTGTAACTAGCTCTCCAATGGTCCACTTGCAGTCAAGTGTTTAAAGCATCCACCAACGGGCAAAGAACCTGGCGGAACCAGCATTGCAGAGAATTCAATGAGGCTAAATGGATAAATGGGGCTATTACAGAGTCATTAGCCTGGAAGTGGTGGTGACACGTGACAAGTTGCCTTTGCAATAGTAGACATAAAATACTCCAGGGATCATTGAGGTTGTTACATTTCATAATTCAGTTGGTCGTAGCTTTTAATTTGAAACTTCCCTTCAACTTCGTTCATTAGGATATTTCGAGATTTACTATCACTGAGGGAAAGGGAAGTCTCCAAATACATTTGATGTGGATAATTCCTGTGCTGTTCTGCAGACATACTGTACATTAATTACATCAACAGATATGTAACATATATTTATATATATCTACATATATTGCCACACAATTCACAAGCCACTGTACAGTCTATGTATGATACATTAACCACTAAATAAGTATAGACTGTATTTTCTAAAAATGTCAGTCAAAACTTAATCAAACACACCAAAGCAAACAACAAAGTACTTCATGTGTTGTTTGTTTTTTATTATATGCGTTTCCAGGTGTTACTGCAGCTGGTGCAGAAGCACGGGCACTAAGGATAAAAAACTGTGTTTAATGTGATGGTCGTGCTATAGAAAACCATCAATACCACTGTTGCACTGGGTACAACTGCCAGATGCAATATGTAGCACTGTGTGTGTGTGTGTATGTGTGTGTGTGTATAGGTGTATGTTTGTGTGTGTGGTTGGGTGAGAACAAACAGAGTGTTGGTAGGATGCATATTTTAAATGTTCCCATCTCCAGAGGGCAAGTTCTGGTGAGGAACTGTTGGCAAAATAAAAATAAAAACAAGAGGATTAAAATAAGTAGCAAATAGACTATAGAGAAGGAAAAAATGAAAAGAAAGCAAGGTTGATTAAGTATTTGAAAAATGTGATTTTAAATCCATTGTGTGTCACACAATCATTTAAATCAAAATAGCTTTGATGCTAAGGCCACCAAACCCCTTCTGAACAGGCAAATGCAGATTAAGAGATCACAAGCATCCATTTTGAATGATTGTGCTTGTCGACGGTTGGACAGAGACCTGGTGAGCAAACAGACTTCTTGGGCATTTGGCATAGCAGGTATTTGAGATAAAATGAGGTGTTCTGTTGTTCTGATTCTACATCACCTTTCAGACAAATAAATTCAAGGAAAGTGTTCCCCAGGCAGAGCCAACAGCGGGGCAGTTGTACAGATATATGAAGGTCTTATTGGATAAAGACTAAACTCAAACTCTTGAAGTCTAACCGAGACTGCATTTTTATTTTCTGCAACAGCATACAATTTGCTCTGTGAATTAGATGTCGTGCTGCGGTCAGACTACTTTTAAATAATGAGCGAATGCTTCCAAGACTTACTTACAGGAAGTTGTCTTGTTCTTCCCACCAAAATTCTGCCGAAATGTCCAGATAACTATAAACTAGTCAGCTGTAGCATACTGAGCATCTTTAAATCTCAAATGCAAATGTCAGCATTGGTCAGTTTAGATGATAAATTGTGTAAAAATTATGCCTTTCAGTAATACAAATATTTAGAAATTAATTTAATTGTAAAGGAAGATTATTTTGATTATTTCAGCTCAGGATTATTTGTGGAATCCAATAAAGGCCCATATACACAGAACTTAAACAGAGTTGGTGATATTTGAAATCAAGCGTTTGGACAAAATAACTACTTACAAGAAATAGAGTAAATCCAACAGAGATAGAATACTTTGGCAAGAAATAAGCTGCAACTGCACAAGTGATGTATTATTTGCGCTTAACTAACACCTCGTTACATATTAGATATACTATTAAAAAAGTGTTAACAAGGCGGAGTATGCGTCTGTCGCCTTTTTAGTCCCATAGCCTAATGCACAAACCATGCTAATTTACGTGAATCAACTTCTTTAATGACTTCCTTTAGGAAGCATTGAGGAGCAGTATGCTAACATGCATGCCATTCAGCATCTCATTATTGGTGAGCATGTGTTATTTTATGTCAAATATTACCAAAGTTTGTAACTCACAGCCCTCTGGGAATACCACTGTCAAGTAAAAATATAATTTTATACTGTACAGATTTGACTCCATTATCCACATAACTACAATAATTGTGCCATATTCAACACCAGCCCAGACACAATACCCTTACAGGAGCTAAATTTATCTGGACTGTAATGATCTCATATGTGCCTCCTTGTTGGAAGCCATGGGCTGAATCTTCCTCCTAGCTGCCCAGAAGACTGTTAGCGCTTGCTAGATTGACAACCTACTAATGGCTGATCTCTAAGGCTTAAGCCACAGAGATGTTTCTACCCGGTGTTAGTACACGCTGTTGCGGAGGCCTGTCACACTGTACCCAGACCTCTCCCTGCCAGGGCTA